TATATACTTCAATAAGTAATAAATGATTTTCAAAAATTAATAAATAAAATCTGATATCTGTCAAATGTTTAACTTCACTTTTTACCAATTCAAATCATATTAAATATTGAAGTCGGCCAATCACTGATGCCTAACAACGTGTATAATGAGTTCATTATTTCCGTTGTTAGGTAGGAAATTTATAATGTTTATTTACTCCTACATTGACGAGCTGAAACTTTATGGCGTTTTATTGACGGGCTGAAGTTAACAACAGTGGCTTTTCGACATTTTACGTCACGGGCTAAAGTTATCTTTATTATAAATTGGGAAAAAGTGAGGTTAAATTCGGGTGACAGTTGACAGATGTCAAAATATTAACAAATAAAATTGGCTTTAAATTCTGTTTTGTAGTCGTCGTAGATAAAGTATAGTATGCAACTCGTTTATAAACGTCTCTAGACACTCGTTTTTATTAAACACTCGCTCGCAAGCTTCGCTAGTTCTTAATTAAACTCGTAACTAAAATGGCGTTTATCAAACTTGATACATTATATACTATTATCATTGTTTATGAAAAAAAAAACAATATTTTGCAAAAGGAGTAGATAAAATGTATTTATTATAACTAAAGAATGAAATTGCATAATTAAAATAAACTAAGGTAAGCCGTCGTAATTTCGGTTTATAATATGATTTTATCTACAACTGTCATTAAATGACTATGATTTGACACTCCTTGAAATGTCATAATAACTTTTTTCTACTCCTATTACGGAATTTAACCGTTCTAATATCACTTTTAATGTGGAATGACATATATTCCGTAAAGTGCTACAGAATGAAATATTCTATCATCTGATTACAGAATAAACACTCGTGGCGACATCTCTGTTTTTAATATCTAACAAATTTTAGACCGATCCAACCTCACTTTCTTCCAATTAAATTATTTTTCTATGGTATTTTTTGAAAACGTAGAAAAAGTATAGTCTGAGACACGTTTGGAATTGCATATTCCGCTCTCGTGAAACCGTTAAACTCACCTTCGGCTCGTGTGACAAACTCTTCACTCGAGCGGAATATGCTGTATTCCAAACTTGTTACAGAATATACTATTATTATCGCACTAGTGGTTTTTTTGAATTTATTACCGCACTAGTGTGTTAATATCTTAAATTAAGCTCAAGGTATATAAACTGCGCACCACCCAATGTGTTGCGACCAAAAAGTTTGTCCTTTTTCAAAACGACATAACTTTTTTGTTTCTTGAACGATTTTATTTTGATCTGTGATGTCTGCTAGCCCCATCCTCTGGCAATTCATGCTATAGATATAAAGCTCACGGTTCTTTAAGTAAATTTCGTTCAGGGTGATATGTAAAACGGTCAAAAATTTCAATAACTTTATCCAAGCCCCGTTTGTAAAAAAAAAAATTTTGTCTCGTTTTTACTTTGAAATAATGAAGTATTATGTCTTACCTTGAAAAGGTTTTCAAATTTTTCGTATTAGTATCTTAGCAAAGAAAATATGATTTTTTTTTCAGAAGAGTACATTTAAGGCTTTTTGGTAAGCAATACACTCAGTCTTTTTAAGAACAAGAAGATAAGATTGTGAAAGATTGTTCCTTGAATAATTCTGAACAAGCGACAAGCAACAAACTTATTTTCAGAGGGGCCTAAGCAAAGACCACTTTTTCAAAATGAATTTTGGTGAAAATTTGCGAAAACTAATCCTGAACCGATATTTACGTTCGTGACATGTTTTCTTTATAATTTTGACCTCCTGATTGTGATTCAGTTGTTAAACCAAAATCACTGGGAATCAGAATTCGACAACAATTCCCGGTTGTTAAATATCTTAATAAAATCAGATTGCTGGCGTGTTTCTTGCATATTTATGATTAAAATGCCATTTAGGGATTCATTTTTTGGGCGAAATTACTGCAATTTATTTGAGTGGTTAGGATAATGTTACATAACTTATATTTGCATTGCGCACTAGTGATAACTTAGCACTGATAAGTACCTACCTAATTGGAAATAAAAATATTTTTATTCATTTAGAAAAATTTTATGCGAAGATATAATCATAATCAAAACTACAACATTCAACAGAAAAATGTAACAAACAATAACAATAATAACTTTCTCCACATATGCTCAATAGGATTCATATCCGGAGACAAAGGTGGCATATTCATTATTTAATATGGTGGTCCCTTAAATACTCATTTACGATATTGGCACGGTTTGACGGGCATTGTCGTCCATCAACACCAATTATTGGCAATATTTTAAGCATAAGGGACCACGATATCACTAACAACCAACTGTATCTCAGCATTCACTCTTTTGATGAAAAAAGTATTAATTTTATAACTTCATACTTAAGTGGTCGCACGCAAGTAGTGAAAACTTCAACTGGATGTTCGTCGGCGAGGAGTGTAAGGGCAGGTGTCCCTCAGGGGTCTATTTTAGGTCCCCTCCTTTTTTTGATATATATCAATGACCTGGTAACTTCTGTAGAGGATGCCGAGTTTATATTCTTTGCCGATGACACTTCCATCTTGAGCTCGGGTAAAACTCTTCAGTCGGTTCTATCTGAAAGTGAGTCTGCACGGTCGGGTGCTGAGCAATGGTTCATAGAGAACCAATTGTGCCTGAATACGCAGAAAACACAAAATTTGGTATTTAGTCTTAAAAACACACAAGGTGTGAACGAGATTGAGTCAATTAAGTTCTTGGGAGTTACTCTCGACCCTAAGTTGTGTTGGGACAACCATATTGATTCACTGGCCTCTGCCTTACGTAAATCTATATTTGGCTTGCGTATTCTCAGTAATGATGTGTCTCAGTCTACACTGGTTATATTATATCACGCCCTATTTCACTCCAAAATTTCATACTGTCTATTGGCGTGGGGTCAGGGTGCAATGTGGAATAGAATTTTTGGTCTGCAAAGACGAGCATTGAGAATAATTGATAATCTCAGTTATAGAGCAAATTGCAAAAAAAGCTTTGTCAGACACAGGATTCTTACGTTTCCTTGCGCTTATATTCTTGAATGTCTTCTTTATGTTAAAGAAAACGAAAACAATTTTCGTAAACATACTGATAATCACGGGTATCAAACAAGGAAAGGCAATAATATAGTTCCAGTCCCTGTGAGACTAACAAGGTCACAAAAGAGTTATGAATTTACTGGTATTAAGCTGTTTAACAAACTACCAAATGAAGTCAAAATCCTACCTTTGAATCACTTCAAAAATACTATTAAAGGACTTTTACTGCAAGAAGCTTTCTATTCTATGGATGAGTTTCTGTGCTACAATTTTATTGAAAACTGTTTGTTGTAATATCTTGTATATTTATTTTAATTTGTATGTTTATTTATTCTGACGTGTTTAAACTTTATTGTATATTGTATAACGAATAAATCTTGAATCTTGAATCTTGAATCTTTCCATTCATCTCCATTTCACCCCAAACAGTCACTCCTCCACCTCCAAAAGCCACCCTTGCCTCCCGTTTCGTGCAATCTTCTGCGAACTGTTGATTTTGAGAGGTCCCGTAGCTGCAGCAAAGTCTGGCATTGGTATTTGAATCATTTAAAGGAAGAATGGAAGTAACCTGGGTAAGGGGTAGGTATGTAGGTAGGTAGGTATAACTTATGCAAAAAACTTCGAAATTTGGAAAAACACAAGCAAACTAAAAAAATCAAGAATATGCCTCATAATGTGCTTTGAATGATTTTCAAGAACTAATTTTCATTTGATCCTTGATTTGATCATTTAGCGACATGATAATAACGTATTTAAGATGCAAAACACTATAAAAAACAGTAAAAACCAGCAATCGTATTATATTAAGACATTTAACAGCCGGGAATTGTTTTCGAATCTTGATTCTTGGTGATTTTGGTTTTATCTCAAACTTAAATTTGACAACTGAATCATAATCAGGAGCCTCCTTTCAGAAAATTTGCGAAAACTAAACCTAAACCGATATTTACGTTCGTGACATGTTTTCTTCATAATTCTGACCTCCTGATCAGAATTATGAAGAAAACATGTCACGAACGTAAATATCGGTTTAGGTTTAGTTTTCGCAAATTTTCACCAAAATATTATTATTATTAAGTGGTCTTTGCTTAGGCCCTCTGAAAATAATGGAAGTTTTGCTTGTCGCTTGTTCAGAATTATTTAAGAAACAATCTTTCAACACTTTGTTCCTAAAAAGACTGAGTGCATTAAATGTACTCTTTTGGAAAAAAAATCATATTTTCGTTGCTAAGATTCCAATTCGAAAAATTTGAAAAATGTTTCAAGGTAAGACATAATACTTCATTATTTCAAAGTAAAAACGAGAAAAAAATTATTTTTTTACAAACGGGGCTTGGATAAAGGAAAATTACTTGAAGAACCTTGAGCTTCATATGTATATCATGAATTGCCAGAGGATGGGGCTAGTAGACATCATAGACCAAAATAAAATCGTTCAAGAAACAAAAAAGTTTTTAAAAAGAACGAACGAACTTTTTTGTGGAGACACATTGAGTGGTGCGCAGTTTATTTAAAAAACAAATATGAATTTTTTATAAATTTTATTTTACAGCCCGTATATAGATTCAAAAAAAAAGGGGGGTTTGTATGTTGTGACATAATATTTACAGGGGGGTTGATGAGCATGTGACCAAGTGTGACAGGGGGGCGGGGGGTTAAAATATAACGAGAAAAGGAGTGACGTAATATGTGAACGACCACAAGTATAATTTGTTTATTATGTAAAAACATAAAATATTCCAAGAAAAAAAAAATGATTTATAACAATAGAAAATTAAAAATTAGTTTAGGTTAAAATAATAAGAATGGCTGTGTAAAAAAATTAAATGACGTGATTTTGTGAAACGGTGAAACACGGGTTTTTTAACGTTTATTTTTAAAATCTGTTAAAATGTTTTATGCATGAAACATTTAATAAAACAGTTCAACACGATTTTTTAACGTTTATTTTTAAAATCTGTTAAAATGTTTCATGCATGAAACATTTAATAAAACAGTTCAACACGATTTTCCTCCCATGGGAGAAAAATCGTGTTGAACTGTTTTATTAATCATTAATGATTAGCAGTGTTAATAATGTGAGTTCTAAAGGCCTTACATTTAAAAACAGCGGTGATATGTATTTCTGCGCTGTTTTAGTACAATGGACGCTATAAGCGTTAACAATGATCAACAATTTGGTATGTCAAGGAATAGATAAAAAAAAATCGAAATTTTAAATTATTAATTTTAAAAACTATAATCTCTTTTTAATAACTCAGCAAGTTTTTCGCCAATCATAACACAAGGGGCGTTGGGATGTCCAGCAAGGGTTAACGGGAAAACACTGGCATCTGCAACTCTTAGCTTTTTAACTCCATACACCTTTAGCTCATGGTTAACAACTGCTTTTTTTGCATCTGGGCCCATTGGACAACTTCCCACTGGATGGTACATGTTCATAGTCAATTGACCAAGCGCACAATACCAATAATCCTTGCTGAGAAATTCATGTTGTTTGCAGGCTGGCAGGGGATTTGCGCCTAATTTTGCATCCACTTTTTTCATTGCGTCCGTCTCGGTTAGTTTTAAAATTAATTGAATCGACTCATAAAGGGTGTCTATGTCTTTATGGTCCTTATCCGATAAGTGGTTTGGGTTAATTAAGGGAAAATCATACGGACTATTGGTTTTTAATTTTATGTAACCTACCGATTGGGCATGGAGGGCAACTGGTGCCGCTTGAAAACATTTTGCGGGCTCAAGAGTAGAAAACGTTGCATTATATGTTTCCTCCTTCAAGTGAAAGGTGTTTATAGCGGAAGCAGAAGTACAATTACCAGCAAAGTAAATTACCTCAACATCCGGGTATTCAGGATTTGGTTCGTACTTTGTATTAAAAAAAGATATTCCCCTTAATCCATCTGCTATAGTGAATGGCCCAACTCCATTTAAATATTCTCGGATATACTCCTTGAAAGGTTTTATTGGTTCTGTATAATTAGTACTAAATACTAATCCCCAAAATGCGGAATGTTCTCTTAGCGTTTCACCAACTGGTAAGTCTTTAACAAGTTTAATACACTTTTCTTTTAAATGGTCTTTTGGTCCTATACCAGAAAGCATCAGAAGCTGTGGGGTATTTATAGCCCCACTTGAAACTATGACTTCCTTTTTTGCAAAAGCGCGATAAATTGTACGATTATAAGAAAACTCGACCCCTTTGGCGCTTATTTGATTTTCGTCAATTATTATCTTTGTTACCAAAGCATTAGTTTGCACAAATAAGTTTGTTCGTGTTAAAATTGGTAAAATAAATGCAGTAGCATCGTCTTGCCGCTTTCCACTTCTAGTACACGATGGTTTATGAGTAAATCCAACTTGCTTGGGGCTATTTGTATCAGTAGAATTATACTTTAAAGTTTTTTGAGCTTCAAACCATGCATTTAACTGGGGATCAGACGTGGGAATGTACTCCACATGCATTGGGCCTGCAGAATTATGATATTCCCAGTCCACCACCGCTGCCGGATTGTTTTTTAATAACCCTTCAGATTTTTTAAATAGTGGTAAAACGTCCTTATACGACCAACCAGGGTTTCCCATGGCTGCCCATCGGTCAAAGTCCAATGGATGACCTCGGGAGTACACAAGACCGTTTATAAGAGTTGTTCCACCCAAACCTTGACCTCTGGCATACATGCATTGCTCATTTCGACTACCCAAACAAGAATATTTTTGCGGTTCACTTAGATAACCCCAGTTATACTTGGTTAATCTAGATCGGATTGAATTTACAGGCATGTCTGTAAAACGACTGGGATACCCTCCAGCTTCTAGAAGCAATATTTTCCAACATTTTTTTTCTGAAAGTCTGTTAGCTATCACTGATCCCGTTGCTCCAGCTCCGACAATTATAAAATCAAAAGTTCCAAAATCTAAACAAGTTTTTTGTTATTACGAGTAATATTTGTATAGTTAATTATAAGTATTACTTACCCTTTGGCGGTTTATTGTTTAATGGCTTGAAAGAATAAGAATCAGTAGCCAAATGGCCATTATCGGCGTTATTAATCTTATTTCGCATATATTCAGCAAATTCATCAAACTTTTCCTCAGAAATACTATGTATTCCAATAATTAAAAAAAAAATTACAATCGGTTTTACGTATAACCCCATTATTAAGTTTTAAAATATACTTGCATGCTTTTTCCTATTTATATATTTTTGAAAAGGAGATAACGGTTGTTTTGTGGGTACTTAAATTTGAAATATGAACACATGCAAATTAAAATGTTAAATAATGTAAATAGACTATGCTCTGTATATTCGTTTATCTTTACATCAACATTAAGGTTTCTTCATATTTATAAGGAATTCAATAAAATTCGATGCTAATACTAAATGATTGATGATTAAAAAAAACAAGTTCATATCAACTTAGGTCCGCAACCGCTTTATTTAGCGTAATAAAAATTTAGTGTCAGCATTGCAATATATTACTAGATCCCGGTATCTACGTTGTGTTTAATTAGTTTACCTTATACTTGCATTTAAGACCCCCAGATTCGTGCTAATATCTAATATCACTTTTTAAGTTGAAATGATATATATTTCTTAAAGTATTAGAGAATTAATTATTCTTTCATCGGATGACGGGATAAACACTCGTGGCGACATCTCTGTGTTTACACTGTTTAAAATATCTGTGTAAAATATCTGTGTAAAAAGTAATCTTAAAATGGTGTCAAAATCCAACACCAAGTGGTGTTAATATAACACCATGAATTATGGTTGAAAATGTGTACCGATCGCGGCAAAGGCGGTCTGGATCACGTGATGTTCTTAAATCTCGCCTCTGTTGACTTACATGAAGAATATATAAACTCAGGTGGTCCTTTGCTTTGGTGTGACACTACAAGTTGTTCGATACTAAAGAGACCTTAAATAGGTGGAAACAGCTGTCAATACTTGAAGTATTTTAAGTTAGTGGAACGCACTAAAAACATTATCTCTAGCGAGTTGAAGGTTCCATTTTCTGGAATAATACCACTGGTAATATACTAGTAATGCGTCAAGGAACTTCTGAGGAACTGATTTAATTTGACAACAAACACATAATATTTAACATTAAAAAGGAGTTCAATTTACACCAGGTAAAATTTATTTTAATACTGTGTGAAAGTTAAATTAACACCATTTTAGTATTTAAATTTACACCGGCCAACGAACCATATTTAACACCATTTTGGTTTGTATCGATATAGACCATGTATGGTGTTAATTTGGTGTTAAAATGGTCATGAAATTTTGAACAGTGTAATATCTAACAAATGTTAGACATATCCAACCTTACTTTCTCCCAATTAAATTATTTTTCTATAGTATTTTTTGGAAACGTAGAAAAAGTATAGTCTGAAACACGTTTGGAATTGCATATTCCGCTCTCGTGAACCCGTCAAACTCGCCTTCGGCTAGTGTGAAAAATTTTTCACTCGTGGAATATGCCGTATTTCAAACTTGTTACAGAATATGAAAAATTTTTCACTCGTGGAATATGCCGTATTTCAAACTTGTTACAGAATATACTATTATTTGCATTAACCCAGCAAGCACAAACATCTTCAGGACGTCCTTGGACCAGCCTAAATATCCCAGAATGGAATGGTCCTTTAAGGACGTTCATAGGTCGACCTTATCGGACATTAGATCTTGTTTAGGTCCCATTTTGGGATATCCTAGAAACGTCATTTAAGGATGTCGTTACCCACTGGGAAAGAAACCTTACAAAATATTGCTGCAATGTTCGCCGACTTTACAAATAAAATATTTCCTGTGCTACTTGCATTAACATAAATGAAATGTTACATTTGAAAAATTGCATATAATAATTTCCAACAACCCTAAATTTAAAACATTATTTAAAGATTCACATGGAAAGTTTGTACAATGTTATATTTGTAACATTTAGTAAAAAAATGTTTGCAACTTTACTTAAAATATACAATGGAAACATTTATTTTGGAATGTTTGGGAATATTTTTGAAACATTGCAGTTATAATATTACATTGATACGTTTTGGGCAATGTTTCATCCGAAATATTACATTAAGATGATTTTTGCAATGTTGCTTTATATAAACAATTTAAACATTTAATTTGCAAGATTTTTGGAACATTGTAACTATAATATTACATTTATAATTTATAACTTTAGTTTTGGACAATGTTTTATCCGAAATATTGCATTAAGATAATTTTTGCAATGTTGTTTGCAGACGGACTTGCCGATGCATCTCGCCGCTGTCCTGGTCATTTATATCTTTATAAGTGAACAGTGCCGAGCTTGATGCGTGTCTCCCGTCACCGACTGCCTGACACTGTCTGTCTGTCAGTCATTAACAAAAATAACATTTAGGAACATTGCCATAAGGATTTTTGTAACATTACACCCCTAAATGTAACGTTCAGTAACATTAATAATATACATTTTTTTACATAACTTATTTTGCATAGGCACATCTTAAAAATGTCAATCAATATAATTATAATAATATTGTATTATATTGATTTTTTCAAGTTTATAAACGACTTGCATACTAGGTATACTTTTTCTACGACGATCACAAAAATTAAATAATTTTTAAACAATTGTGTATAATTAATTATTTTTTATTATCTGACATGGACCAGTCGATTCTAACCTCACTTTTTAGACCCTTTATTTTGACCATTGTTTCGCAGTTGACAACTGCAATTAACTTCAGCCCTTGACTAAAAAATCCGAAAGCCATTGCTGCCAACTTCAGCCCGTGACTAAACCGCCATAAAGTAACAGCTTGTCAATTTATTTGTATTTAAAAGATCATGGAAACAGGTACGATAATAGCCGTTTTAAAGGTGGGAGTAAAAAAACATATTACATTTTGTGTATTTGTTATAGGACCAAAAAATACAACTGGCTGGTAATTAATAATTGTTCAAACACCTTGTTTGTAAGGTATTAATACATTTAGAGTTCTCTGAATAATAAATAAGGTAGTAAGCGTCAGTTAACCTTAAAAATTTAATTACAAACGCAATCTGTAAATAATTTAATAGTTTGTGCTAACGATATCGTTAGCACGAACTATTTAAAACAATTTAAAATTTAAAACAATATTGTTTAAAATTTGGCGGCATACGTTATGGTGGTAACACTGGATTGGTCTTTGGCGCCTTTTGTTAGAAAAAATTATTTTTCGGAGGCGTGAATCTCGATATCGTGATCTCCATAAAGCGTGTTTGTTATATTATAGTGTTCTTTTCAAATTAAAGCTTAAATAAAACCAGTTTGCTTGACTGATTGGATATTTTGGATATTTCAACAACCATCAAAAAATAAATTGCCAGATTTCTTACTTTGGAGTCTCTAGAATACTCGAAAAATATAGGTGGTAGATCTACTAACTTTTAAAAGTAAGATTTGTTGGAAACTACCAACTTTTAAAATTATATCTACCTCCTAGACCGATTTTGGGTTGGCAACACTGCGTCCGCCCCCAGCATCCTTAGATTAATACAAAGAACTGTTCTTTGGATTAATAATCTTTCACATCTTGTGCGCATCTCTGATGTACTAAAGTCTAGTTAAATATTGATAAAGTTTTGGATCGTTTTGCAAAAATGAAAAAAAGACATTATAATTTTATAATTTGAATTTTATATTTAGAAAGATTACCTAGGTAGGGGAGACCGGGGTAGAACGGGGTGTTTAGTTTTATAACTTTTCGATATATATATATTGTATATAACCATTTTCAGCTTCATTTGAAGGTTGGATTTTATGCACACAGTGCTCAAAGTGGGCTCACAATTCGTGTGCTGGGATAGAGAGTGATGACGACGATGCAGACCTTGTCTGTGAATTGTGTAAGCCCGATAACCCCATTCTGTCCCGTAGGCAGGGCGGAATGGAGTAAAGGACACTTTTTTTAATACGATAATAAAAAAAAATTGTTAAGCATTTATGTTAATTTTTTTTTGTATTTTGATATAATACTTTAATCGTTCTGCTTTTTTTTAATTTGTACCACGTCTCTACCCTACAAAAAATAATTTTTAAACGTTAGAGTCCCCATTCCGCCCCGGTCTCCCCTACTTAAAAAAGAATATACAGTGTGACCCATTTGTTTGTGACTCACCCCTGTAAAATTTTTATTTATTGTGCGATTTTAACAGGATTTGTTTTAAAATGTAGATCTTGATAAACTGTATTTTTTGAGTAAAAAAAACATATGTTTACAAAATACAAGGCCTACTATATCAGTTTTTGAGAGTAAATTTTTAAGAATTCTTATTAGCGATTATTAAAAAAAATAATTATTCACGGCACTGGATTTATTGAAAAATTTTAAGTAGGAACGATTTTATAGCCAAATTAAAAATGCACAATAATTACTATTTACATAAATTTATTGTCAAGTTATCCATGAAAAAACATTGAAATAACATTAAACTAATAGTAAAATGGTATAAATATTCGTAAGCTTAGTTTTTATAAATAAACAACACAAAATAAACTTAAAGCAACAATGAAAAAAAAAATAAAGAATTCCAAAAATTTCCTACAGATTTTCGTCACCTCTAATAATCCACCATTTATTTCAATACATTTAATTATTCTTTTACGTACGTTATTTGTTACCTTTCGTATTTGTTCTGGAGTAATGGCAGCGCAGGCTTGTATTACCCTAACCCGTAGTTCCAGTGCAGTTTGTGGCCTTGATTTATAAACTTTTTCTTTCAGTAAACCCCAAAGAAAAAATCGAGTGGCGTCAAATCTGGGGATCTCGGCGGCCACTCAATTAAATTACTGTTTCGCCATATCCAGCGATTTTCAAAATGTTCATTTAGCCTTTCTCTCATTATAACAGCGTTATGAATAGGAGAACCATCTAATTGAAACTTTAAATTTTGGAGATTATTTAATGGTAAATCATCTAATGCGTTCCAGAACTCGTTTCCGAGGAAATTTAAAAACTCATTCGCATTTAAATTGCCCTCAAAGAAGAAAGGGCCAATTATTCTGTCATCTAGTATTCGACACCAAACGTTAATTTTTTGTGAATATTGTCTCTTTGCATTTATGACGAATTCCGGATTCTCAGCTGACCAGTGACGGCAATTTTGACTTGAAACTACCCCATTGGTAGTGAATGTAGCTTCATCGTTGAATAAAATTTCATTTTAAAAATTACGATTATTTAGATA